AGCTAGTCCTTTTGTTAGCACATCTGCAATCTGCATCTCGGAAGGAGTATAAGGAATGCAGAGTTCCCCTGAGACTATCCTTTCTCTAACAAAGTATCGGTCAATCTCAATATGCTTCGTCCTATCATGTTGCACTGAGTTATTTGCAATGTTGATGGCAGCATTGTTGTCACAGTACAGCCTGAGAGGACACTCGACCTTTATCCCAAGCTCACCAAGAAGGGTCCTAAGCCACAATAGTTCAGCAACACCATGAGCCATAGCTCGATATTCAACCTCTACACTTGATCTAGCAACCACATTTTGCTTTTTACTTCGCCATGTAACCAAATTCCCTCCAACTAACGTGCAATACCCAGAAGTAGACTTCCTATCTCCAACAGAACCAGCCCAAGTACCTAAGAATCCTTTCTGTTGCTCTCATATGAGGAATCTTTGGAGAGTGCATGAACTGGCTGACAACATGTACAGCATAAGCAATATCTGGTCGAGTGAGACAGATATATCAATTTCCCTACCAGTTTTTGGTATCTCTCTTTATCAAGGTAGTCCTCTCCTACTGATTCCTGTAGACCATGATTTTGTTCTATTGGAGTATCTGTTGGTCTACTCCCCATCATACCTGTCTCCTCTAGAAGATCAAGGACATACTTCCGTTGACATATATAGGTGCCCTCTTGTGACCTAGCAACTTCAATTCCAAGGAAGTATCTCAAATGGCCCAAGTTTTTGATCTCAAACTCAGAAGCCAAGAATTCCTTCAATCTTTTTATTTATCTCTTCTAGATCATTCCCTGTAATCACCATATCATCCACATAGACGACAAGTGTCGTAAGTCTGCTATCATGTTTCCTTATGAACAAGGTATGATCTGCACCACTTTGAGTGTATCCCACTCTCTTCATGGCCCCATAGAGCTTCTCAAACCAAGCTCGAGGAGACTGCTTAAGACCATATAATGCTTTCCTCAGTCTACACACTTTCCCATCAAAACCATAACCTAGTGGAGAATCCATGAATACCTCTTCATGTAGATCGCCATTTAGGAAAGCGTTCTTCACATCCAACTGATGTAGCTCCCATGAGAAGTTTGCAGCTAATGACAAYAGAACCCGGATTGTGTTGAGCTTTGCGACTGGAGCAAAGATCTCTTTGTAGTCAATCCCTTCCTTTTGAGTAAACCCCTTCGCCACTAGTCTGGCCTTGTATCTTTCAATGGACCCGTCCTCCCTATGCTTCACAGTGAACACCCACTTGCATCCCACAGTGCATTTCCCTTCTGGTAGATCCAGTAATTCCCAAGTCCTGGCTTTCATTAAGGCTTTCATTTCTTCATTCATAGCCTCTCTCCATCTTGGATCAGACACTGCCTCTGAGTACCTAGTAGGGACATGCACGGAAGAGAGAGTAGACACAAAGGAATAATAACGAGGAGATAAATGTGAGTAAGAAACATATTCAGCAATGGAGTGTTGGATAGTACAAGAACGGGTAGACTTACGAAGAGCAATAGGGAGATCCAAATCAGAAGTATGAGTGATAAGATTACCTAGAGTTGTTGAGATAGATTGATCCGAGTCTGATTGGTTGCTGCCATGAGTTGGAAGGTCTTATTTCCTTCTATTGTAGGTGATTCTTATATCTTTGTGTTGCTTACTAGTGTCCTCAGTTAGCATCAAGAGTGATAACAAGTTCAATGGGAGCCTCACTAGATTCACCTGTGATGCTACAACTAGGAGGATCAGGAGGAGAAGATGGAAGGCCCAAGGCTGAAAGAGGCACAAAAAAAGAGGGAGAAGAATAACCCTCTTCCATCCCACTAGTCTCCCCCTGAAGAGGATTCTGGGAAGAATGAAAATAGGATTGAGACTCAAAAAATACCACATCTTTTGTGACGTATTTTTTCTTGGTAACGGGATCATAACACTTGTAACCCTTCTGTGTAGGAGAGTACCCTAGAAAGATTCCYTTCGTAGCCCTAGGATCCAACTTGGTCTTCTTTGGATCCTTTACATGAATAAAACATACACAACCAAAGACTGTAGGTGGAAGAGTAAAGTCTGGAAGACTAGGACAAAGGACAAAGAAAGGAGTTTTCATACCTATTAAAGTGAGCCGAATAAGGGTAGTTTAGTCATCTTATCTTTGTTAAGTTGCTTGCTTATGTGGCAGTCTTATTAGAGATACTCTGCCCCACACTTAAGTAAGGGCAGTTTAGTCTTTGTAAATGTGATTAGAGACTAATAACTACTAAGGGGTCGATTGATAGGGTTAACCCATCAGATTCGACAGTCCCTTCTTTTCTTTCTTCTTCTCCCTCTTCTTCTTCCTCCTCTTGCTGGTTCGGGTTACTGTAGCAGCAGTCCAAACATGGTATCAGAGCCATGTTCCTGACCTACTTCAGTTCGTGAAACATCTCAGCAAGGTTTGTGACCTCTCTTCCTTCGTTTCT